GAACATGGAACTTATTGACACAAGAATGTTCAAAGCTCAGCCTTACAAGCAATTAAAGAAATGCTTGTTTAAAAACATTAAGAAATTCTATGTTTTCCCTATTAAATTTGCATAGATTTTTAAAAAGTCAATATCCACAATCAGCTAGGATGCAGTGAGATGGGAATTAGGATGTATTGCTGGGAGGGGGGCATAAATTGAAGGGCAATCTGGATGTGCGTGTTAGACTCCTTTAGGATGGATCTAACACTCACGGCCCAGGCATTTCACCCTGAGGGGTGATTTCTACGTCAATCATGAGGAATCTGAGTGATGAATTACGTCACAACATTGTTATGCACAAGCCAAAAAAGCTGGAAGCCACCAAAATGTCCAACACCAACAAGAGAGTGGAGCTGTTAACAGTTGGGGAAACAGAGGATGAAAAATGGGTCGAGCACTTGAAGAGAAGGATAAACTTGGGCACTTGAAGTTTGAGGCGCCTGTGGGACATTCACTGTCAGATGGGCAGAAATGGAAGCCGGATGCGGAAGAGATACAAGACCAGAGAGAAAGATCTGGGACTCAGCCTCGGAGAAGTCAACAGGCCACAGAAATCACGTTCTCTGACAGCAGTGAAGGCCGTGGGGGAAAGGTTTAACGAACAAGGCTGATTCCAAAGTGCATGCACCATTTAGTAGAAGGAAAAATGTTTATACGTGCCCCCAAAAAGAAAAATCTGAAAGGAAAAATGTTAAAAGCAAAATGTTGAAATTATAGATGATTTAGATATTATTTTTCTTTATACTCTTCTGTATTTTCCTTTTTTTAAAAAAAAAATTAAAAAAAGCAGTGTCTTCATTCAACTATGTATAATAAGTGAATATAATGCTCCAGCATTTTCCTGAATGATAAATATATGTATTTTTCATTACTTAAAAAAAAATTTAATCCGAGATGTTCTAACTATTGCCTTGTTTTACAGATATGGAAATGCTGACAAGACCAGTAGAGGAAGTGACTTGCCCAAGGTCATGCAGTCAGCAAGCACAGCTTCTGAAAACCATCCTGGAGCTCCAGCAAGAAACGGAAAAAGGGATTTGGTTTGTAACCAAGCTCTCTGAATCACAGCTCTTCTACCAGGTGAGGAAGCTTTATAAATACAACCATAAATATGTGCTTAATCATATACCTTCCACTGCCTTATTATAAGTAATCACCTCCATGGCATTTTACCAAAATGTTCCAGAGCAAAGTATAATCTTCTCTCTTGATAATTTTGAGGACTTTTTGTCCTTCACAAAAAAAGTGTTCTGCATTTTCTCAATTAGAAAAAAAAAAAAAAGATCCTTTTGCCAGCTACTGATGCTGTCAGGTTTTTAATGTGAGTCCACCCACTCCAAGCTGTATCTATGTCTGAATACAAATACATATATTTGAAGACTGGCCAAGTTCTTTTAATTCATTCTCTTATCACAGGATGTAGTAAAAGCAAAGTCATATTTCCTTCAAGTTTATCTCATTTTCAATACCCATTTGAATAAAAAAATCCCATTGTCTTTCACGATGGATACTGAATTACTGGAAGACCACTGTACATCTAGTCTAGGCCAACAAAATGAAATATGATTTCTTCAAAGCAGAATGCTATTTCCATTACTTACATCAGATGGAAAGCTTTTACCTGTAATTAATAAATCAATTATAAGCTTTAAACCTACCTCTGACATGAATTAGATTTCCAAAATATGTAACCTTTGGTTGACCTATATTTCATTTTTAAAACTGGGGTCCATCACAATCTAGTGATCAATACATAGAACACCACAAATAGTATCCCTTCTGTTTGTCAGATATTATAAATGATTAGCATTATGCTTGCAGGAAGCACACAGCTGTTGGTCTAACCTTTTGGGGTCCATCTCCTGAAAGCATGATACATCGTTCTTACTTTATGGCTTTCTGTACTTAAGGTACCCATTTCTGTAGCCTTAGGGATGATGTGGCTATAAATGCACGTATAAATGTCTCACAAACCCACACCGTGAGATGTGTATTTATTTTGACAAACTTAACTGCCTACAGTGTTGGGAAGGTAAAGAAGGGCTAGTGTATTTCTGAAAGATGACTTTGCTCTGTCTTTGACAAAAGACATCTCACAGTAACACACACCTTACATTTACAGCTTCTTCATCTACCTACTGCCATTCTGACGAATCTAAACATTAGACTTTTTTTCAATCATCATTTCAGAAAGGAAGAGAACCTAGTAGGTAAGAGCTCTAGGGATGGCAGGCAGTCCTGAATTTGAAGAGCCACTCTGCCACTTACCAGGTGTGCGACCTTGGGCAAGTGACTTAAGTTTCAGTTTCTTCAACTGCAAAGAGTAGACAATGGCACCTGGGATTGTTGGAAGACAATGCACAGCTTAGCACACTGTCTAGTACATAGCACGGGCTTGATAAAGTAAATGTTACTTAACAGTACTCATAAGATGCTTTTCAAGTTTGGTGTATAATATGAGGAGCATTTACAAAAGACTTCTTTGTCCCTGTTTCCCCAAACCAGAAACTCCATCAACATTGCCTTGGGAATTATCGTGAAGACTCTAGAAAAGAGAACAAAATAACTCCACAATGCCCTTCTTTCAGAACTCAGGCCAATACTTTAATGCTCATGTCTATCTGTATTTACCTGGCTGGTTCCATTTTACGGAGCCTCATCTGTTTGTGGGATGGGGATGTCCTGGGATTCAACCAACCAATTCTAGAGTAGACTTTTGCAACTTTGCCCTTTTGTGAGTGCTGTTTAATGTTCCACGTGAATTTAGTCTTTGCTAAATCTTTGACCTTATCTCGGACCATATCATTTTCTGCTTGTGATCCTAAGCTCATGAAAAACATGTTTTCCTTTAATGTTTTGACAACCTTTAAGTACAGAAACGCCTAGAGAATCAACTGGTAAGTTCTTTCAAATGGTGAGAACAGACTATACATAATATGCTACAAAAGCCTGCCTTCTAAGTATGGAATCGTAAATCTCTCCACACTGGAATCCCAGAATGGCCAAGAACAGATAGAAAACTAAGAACCACCTCCCAGGGTCTTGGGGCATGCACAGATAAGCTTGAGAATGAGAAGGAATGTCCTGCCCTGGCAACATTCTAACCCTGCTTCTTGGCTGTTTCTGATCTGGAACCCTGATCAGAGAAAGGGAAATAATGAGGGGGAATAATGCTAGTGGGCCTGGTGACTGATGGTCAGCCATAGCAGCAGGTCCCCACTTGGCAAATGGGGGTGTCAATGGAATGCCCTGCCATCAGCAATGCACTTAGTGAATGACGAGTCTGTGATAACAGAAATTGCATGTACTATAACTGAATACAACAGGTTACAAAACTTTTATAATACAGGTACACACATTCATACACACATGCACAATACAACCTCAATTATGTAAAATAAAGCATATGAAAACCATAAAGACAATACACCAAAACACTGGTTGTCACTGACTGGGAGATTATGGGTAATGCTTTTCCTCTTTCTACTTTCTTATTATTTTTTTCCAATTGTCTATAATCGTGTATAGCTTGGATATCTAAAAAACGTATTTTAAATGTCAACATAAATTCATTGAAATTTAGCAAATTTCACGTTTTAGCGAGAGAGAAAAATGAATACTCTTCACAACAGATAACGATCCTTCCTACAAACGACTTTGACCATTGTCCTGATGGTAAAGGTTGATAATTAGTAACTAGGAGGACGCTTTGCAAATACTGGCACCAGCAGCCTGCCCCAGACCCCTCTCTCTGGGTCAGATGGTTCTTTTTTGTGTGAAACATTCTGGTCTATCCTAGAGGACTGGGGAACGTCGAGGGAGAGAGGTGTAGGGAGAGTGAAACTGTTAGAAATCGGTTGGGTAACGGATATATCCTCAAAACTGCTCTGAAAGTGTTTGCAGCCTGTACCTGCACTAAACAGATCGATCTGTTTCACAGACACTAGGGCGTGGCCCACCAGGAAAAACCCGCGCATCCGTGAGTGACAGCTTAGACCTTAGGCATATCGATACTTCCACTTTGCAAGGAGCCGTTTCTCCCACCACATCCCCAAACGCAAGCCTCAAGGAGGGTGTAGGTTTGGCTCCAGCCAAAGTGCTGCGGGCAGTTTTAACTTTATGTTCCTGTAAGGCTGCCCTGTGCATCTCCTTTGGTTTCGGGAGCTCTGAAGATCCGTTTAAGGTTCTGTTCATAGACTGAGCCTCTAGGCCTTTGTGTCTAGAGAAACCCAAGCCTCCCTCACCTGGGGACCTGTGATCTGATCCTCCTACACCATCAGTAAAGATGCAGGTGCTCAAACAGCAAAAATCAGGGTCTGTGTTTAATGTCCCTGGGGCAAGCACGTCGGAGAAGTGGTGGGGACAGGGCAAGTGTGAGTGCTGGGAGACCATTTCTGCAACAGTTCTCTTGGAAACCCTTGTCCACGTCGTACTTTTCCGGCTGGGGGGTGGAGGCAAAGACTGTGGACGCGTGGGCTCATCACTATCACCCTGCCAACGTTTGAGTGACGGCAGTAACTTCTAGGTGAATGGATTTTTCACTCGGTTTGGGCTGGGGATGGATGATGGGGACAAACGGCTGGGAGTGTCGACTTAAAAGAGTCTATCGATTTTATGGAGGCCTTGTGGACTTCCACAGAACACCCAGTGAAAAAGAGAGGTTCTGGGGGAAGGGTGCAGAGAAACGAGGGTGCGGGAATAGACTGCCATAAACTTGCCAATTACCCAAAGAGAGCAGGGGGCGCCCGGCTTAGCCAAAGCCGGGCTGATGCCACCGAGGAGGGCCACCTAGAAGAAGGAAGCTCAGCGTGGGCGCCTTGACCCTCCGCGGCTCGCTCCCGCCCCCTCAAACCCCCGCGCGGCGCGAGCCGGCCCAGCCAGGCCCCGGGGGCGCAGCCTCAGAGGCGGCCGAGGGCTCGGCGGGCGTCCCGGGGTGCAGGGCGCGGCGAGGCGTGTACCTTGGTGCCCTGGTAGAAGTCGTCCACGGACCGCGAGCCCATGAAGGGGAACTGCATGTGCGTGTGCGTGTCGATGCCGCCGGGCAAGACCAGCTTGCCGGCGGCGTCTAGGACCCGCAGCCCGGCCGGCGCGTCCCCGGGCGGCAGCAGGTCGCGCCCCAGCGCCCGCACCACGCCGTCCTCCACCAGCACGTCGGCCACCTGCGAGGAGTCGCCGTTGACCACGCGTCCCCCGCGTATCAGGAGCCGCGACGGCGCCGCCATGGCGAGCGTCGCACGCGCTGCTGGCCGCCCTCCGTCCGGGGGCACGGGGAGGGGGCCCGGGCCGGGCTCCGGGTTTATCAAGGACCCGCTGCGAGGGGGCGGGGGAGGAGAGGCTCCACCCCCGGGGGGCTGGGCCTGCGCGAAAGGCTGGGGCGGACTCCGAGGTCAGCGGGCTTCAGACCCGAAAGTTCTGCCGCCCGGAATCCAGGTGTACGTCCAGACCCTAGATGTACACCGAGATTTTTCCCTTCCAGTCATTGGAAGGGAAAAGTCTTGGAGGTAGTTTTAAAGACGAGGGACGTTTGTTTTCCTTTCTAAGAAAAGGCACTTTGGGGAAAAAATCCACCTCATTTCTTCCCTTTATGAAGAGTGTGTCTGTACCAAAACGCAGAGAGACAGGCAGAGAGAGAGAGGAAGGGAGGGAGACAGACAGACAGACACCACCAGCAACAATGAAAATACCCACGCCCCAAAGAACCACTTGATCTGGATTTCCTTTTAAATATTCTTAACTGTGCGAGGAGCAAAGATAAATGACATTCTCGTCCTCAAGGAGCTAAGAGCCAACAGTGACACACATACATATTTCAATGGATAACAATATATAAACCAGAAAATTCTGCCTTCGAGAGAGGCTAAAGATACGAGTTTAGAAGAAAGGGGGAGTTTATTTCTGCCTTGAAGGAAATTAGATATGGAAGATTCACAAAGAGGTATTTGAACTAGGACACAGAGGACATGGACATGGAGAGATAAGAGCTGGGAAGAGGGATGATGTTCTGGGCGAGGGAACAGGCTGGATAAAGGCACAGAGAAGGTGATGGCAAGTTGAGTGTGACCTCCACGTGGTTAAGCTGAGGGGATAGGGTTGGACAGTTGTGGACCACCCCTTTCCTCCCAGGGGAGAAGGATGAAGAGTAGACAGAGCAGTGAGAGAGAAGGGAGCTCGGGGAGCCCTGTGTGAGGGACGACAGCAGTGCGGGGTTTCAGGAGCACCAAGATCGAATGCCATAGGAAGGGTGGGGAGTGTGGTGTACGTGTGCTGTTCCATCGTCTATTCTCATCCTCATTCTGCCAACAGTCACTGGAGTTTCTCTGGCAGGAAATCCTCCCCGTGCATTCTCAGAACACTCACCTCGGTGGAACTGATGGGACCTCCGGCTCTGGGACTGATCTGCTTATCTAAGCACTGCCAGTCACAGCAGGAAGTCCTCACGGCCACGGTGATGTGTTCAGGGATGACACGGGTCCCAAGAAGACTAACCGTGCTCAGTGAGACCTGATGCTAACTTGTGTTAGGTTGAGCAGATGAAGAGCTTTCTCTTTCCTGCTGGACTTGAATCCTGGAGGGAGTAAAAGACAACAAGGGAATAGTCCTGTGAACAGAGCCAACAGAGAGAACAGAAAGGAGAGATGGAGAGGGACTGGGTTCTCATGACACCGTTGGTGCTCCTGAAACCAACCATGCCTGATGTCCCCTCTTTCAGACTCTCCGGTGTTTGCTTCAGCTGGTTTACTTTGGTTCTTTTGTCATTTTCAACCGTCAACTGACAGAGGATGGGAAGGTACTTCGAGTTGGGGAGTAGGTGGTCACATGTGACCTCGGAGAGATGACATTTTTAATAGTGGAATGCAAGATGTTATTATTATCAAATTTCCTCAAGTCTCAGATCACACAAACCTCAAAATGATTAAAAATTAGGAAACATCAATAAAGTGCCATAGATTTGGCTGTCAAGCCAGGAACAAGAAGCCCAAGAAGGTTATGCAATTATTGTCAAAAGACCATTGTGTAAAGGTGAAAAGAATAATAATACATACGCAACTCCGCCAAGCTCCACACGTAACAGCCCTCTAGGAAAGTAAGATTGGGTCTCAGGGTGGTTGTGACATCCTTTCTGAAGCTCAGATGATGATTTCAAAGGTTTTTTTAATCTCAGACACTTTATATCACAAAAAGCCCTGTAACACAATGTAGCGTAAACTCTCCACGTTTAATTAACTCAAACTTGATCAGAAAAGGGGATTTGTAGAATGTTACTGAAGCAGGAGGAAATAGCTCATCGAGATTCACTGACCGCACAGAAGAGAGTGTTGGGTAAGTTTAAGGAGAAAAGCCAGCTTCGCAGAAGGTGTCTTCCCCCTCTCTGGCCACCACTGTCCAGACGCCAGGCATGTCTAGATGCCGGATGTCATCCACCAGCTTGCCAGGTGGGAGGCGAGCAAACGTGCCCAGAGGGGAAGATTGTCCTCAGAAACCCCTCACCTCCCTTTTCTCTGCCCTACTCAGCCACCTCTGTACCTAGACACACGCGCCCTCAGTGGGCGTGAAACAAGTAATCCCAGACACGATGATCTTGGCACTGGAGGCAGGAAGCAAGACTCCTGCTGTTTTGCCTTCTTCTTGCTGGAGAAAGAATCAGTTTGATTGACTAATATACCAAAGCGTGTCTGAGGACCCATTACTCCTTAGAGGACTTTTTTTATTTTTTTTTTTGCAGTACGCGGGCCTCTCACTGTTGTGGCCTCTTCCGTTGCGGAGCACAGGCTCCGGACGCGCAGGCTCAGCGGCCATGGCTCACGGGCCCAGCCGCTCTGCGGCACGTGGGATCTTCCCAGACCAGGGCACGAACCCGTGTCCCCTGCATCGGCAAGCAGGCTTTCAACCACTGAGCCACCAGGGAAGCCCTAGAGGACTCCTTTTAAAGGAGGGCTACAAAGGTTGTGAAAGCTTAACCCACAGAAACATACCTACTTTGAAGTGCAGGTGAGAGCAATTCGAAAGGAGGCCTTCCCAGCCCTGACTGATGGTGTAAAGGGATAGAAAGGCAGAGCAGAAAAGGGTGACTTCCTTCACTGAGCGGCTCAGGGTTTTGGGGAAACAAATCCACCAGGCCCAGGTGTATTTAAGTCCTCCGCAGCCCTGGAGTCACTGAGTTTGCTTTCCCTACTCTCCAAACACACCCCTACTCCTACTCTAGGCCCCTGTGGCTATGAGGGGATTTCAGGGTATTGTTTCCCCTGGAGGAAAAGCTGTCTGTGGGGCAGAAAGAGCAGACAACGAGGGTGTGTGAGCCAGAGGGAGCAAGGAGAGAGGCGGCAGGGCCGGGCGTCTCCAATACGCCCCAGCTGGGGGCTGTGCGCAGGCCCAGTCCTCTGGCCCTCGCTGGGATCAAAGTCCCTGGCAGGGTGATGAGGTTATACCTGAATCAGCAATAGAAGAGGCGGGTAGGCAGCATGGATGGGAATTAGGAGTCTAATCCTGGCTCTGATGCAAGCTTCTGGTGTGAGTCTGGGCAAGGCACTTACTCTTAGGGCCTCTTATCTCCTCAACTGAAAAACGAGGAGCTAAGTTGACAAGAGCTTGTAAGACCCAGCCTTTGCACTTTTAAAAGTCTTGTGATTCTGTGAACAGGGACAAGACGCCCATCCACAGAGTGCCTGGCATAGTCCTAGAGTTAAACTCTTCTCAGGTCTAGATAAGTGGACTGGAGACCAAGAAGGACTTGCCTTCTAGATTTGGGGCTCTTTTATTTCTGGTCCCTCCACTGAGGCAGAAGGGACGTGCTTGGAAAGGGTGGCAAGCACAGAGCGTAAATCCAGATGTAGGTCATTGGGGGATGAAGCTCGGTGGGACCTTTCGTTCATGAGCAGGGACAACATCTTCCTCTCTGGCAGCCAGAAGTGGTCTCTGTAGGACCAGAGAGAGAAAGCTGGCCACTGCACAACTCCAGAGGGCAGTCTTCCCTGAACCTCCCAGGCAGAACGAGGAAATAATAGCCCTGAATAACAATACCAGCAGCGGGAGCTAAGGTTTATTGAGTACTTGAATCAAGTCAGTACTGGGCCAAATGCTTCACATGCCTTACTTTACTTCGTCCTCCACAACACCTCTTTGAGCTAAATACTATTTCCCTGTTTAACAGAGGAGCCTTTTGAGGTCAAATGACCTGCTCAAGGTCACCTAACAGTAAACGCTGGAGGTAAGCCTTTCATTCTGGAACCTGTAATTTACTCAATATGTGAGTCCAAACTCTAAAGCCAGGTTCAAATCCTGGCTGCATTTGGACCTCAGGTTACGTAAATGGATGAGCATAAATCCGGAATGAGCTCCTACATCCATCACTCTTTATACCTCTAGCACTTCTGACATGGGGCTGCAAAGCTGCTTCAGACTGTTATCTAAATATTGGGGAGCTGGTCTATGTGTTTGCTCAGATAACTAATGTCATGAGGGTTTAAAAAAAGTGCTCCATCCTGTAACAAATTAACAAATTTAGTGAGTCCAGATCTAACATACCAATACTGACCTGCCTTGGGGGAAAACTTTCAGGACATGGCACCTAGATAATCCAGGATGATCTCTTCATTTCTATAAATCCTTAACTTTGCCACATCTGCAAAGTCCCTTTTGCCATGTAAGGTAACATTCCCAGGTGCCAGGGACTAGAAGGATATCTGGGTATCTTCGGGCTCCGTAACTCAGCCTATGACAGTGCCTATCATTGTCCCCCTTGAACAAAAAGACACTGCTTTCTCAAGGGATGGCCTAGGAGCACCAGGCTCGGCTCAGAGGTTTCTTCTGCCCTGTCTGTCAGCAGCACTAACGTATGCTTCCAGAAACTCTCTTGCCCCTTGACCTCATTTGTACTGTGCCACGGTTTCCAAGTTCTTTTGAGCTTTCCTAGCAAAATATATTTCAGCAGTAAAATAATACTTAAGGAAATAGAGGAAGTGCCCTCTTGATTAGAAATAAGGTAATAAAGTAAAATTAAAAAGCTTGTACTTTGGAGCCAGATTGATCTAGATTTGAGCTCTGGTTTTATCACCTATCATCTGTAGATTCTGTTTTGGTTTTTTTTTTTGCCTGTGTTGGGTTTTCGTTGCTGTGCGCAGGCTTTCTCTAGTTGCGGCGAGTCGGGGCTACTCTTCGTTGCAGTGCACGGGCTTCTCATTGCGGTGGCTTCTCTTGTTGTGGAGCACGGGCTCTAGGTGTGTGGGCTTCAGTAGTTGCAGCACACGGGCTCAGAAGTTGCAGCA